CGCGCAGGCGAGACCAACGCACCGTGGGCCGCTACTGCAGCCGACGCGGCCGCGGCCGGTGCGCGAGCTCAGCCGAGATCACCGCGAGCTCGGCCGAGATCAGCACTCTCCCTTCTCTCCTCTCTCCTCCTCTCTCCTCTCCTCCTCTCTCCCCTCTCCTCCTCTCTCCTCATCACCTCATCTCTCCTCTCCTTTCCTCTCCTTTCCTCTGCTCTCTGCTCTCTCCTCTCCTCTCCTCTCCTCTCTTCTCCGCTCCGCTCCTCCCCCCACCTCCGCCTCCTCCCTGCCAACTCAATGAACCGCACACCCTCCCCTTCCCATGTGTCCCCAGCCTTTGCGCGCCACCGCTTCCACTCGCCCGCAGGCGCGCACACGCGCGAGGACGCCGGCGACGAGACCACGCCCGAGACCATGCCCGACAGCGCGGCGGCGCAGGGCGGGAAGAGGAAGCGGGAGGTGGTGCGCCTCGGCTACACCTCGGCTACACCTCGGCTATGTCTCGCTATATCTCTTGGCTATCTCTCCCCGCACCTCGACGGAGTACGGGGTACGGGGTCCCGGCCACCCGAGTGGCACCTCGAGACGCCCAACCCCTCAAGGATCCGTAGCCCTCGCACTCACGCGGTGCTCTCTGAGTACACGGCACAAGATGGGCGCTCACGCCCTCCGTGTGATCACACCACACTAAGCGAGTCTCTAGGCCTGCCTCGCCGACTTCTTCCAGAGCGGGCCGCGTTGGATGGGGCGGCAGAGCTGAACGCTGAACGGCGGAATAGGGCATACGCGACCACATATGCGCACAGAAGATCGAACCGGCGCGCACAGAATCTTGACAAAACGGAGAGAGCGCCTGCGGCTGCGGGCCCAGAAGCGCTACACAAGGTGAAAGGTATGTCTGGGCGTCGCTCTCGGGCCGAGCGTTGTGATTAATCATTAAACTTTCGGTTTCGCACCGTGTATATAAGTGCGCAAGGCTCCTCCTCACGTGTCAGGTCAACACATCACAGGTGTCACGAGAAGTGACTCTCTTTTTTGTGTCTTGAGTCTCGCCGGTCGGCCGGTCGCGTCGGACGTCGGTGCTCACCAGGGTTCTGAAACAATCTTTTCCCCATTGCCAGAGGCCCTCCGACCTTGCACCTCAGCACGTGTCGGTTGCCGGCGACAGCGCGCGCCGCGAGGTGGAGTTGTAGCTGTTGATCATCGCTTGGATGGCAGGGGGTGGCGCCGCCGTGCTGTCGGCGTAGAAGTCGATGAGACCCGGCACGAGGGAGGGGCGCTGCGCGTCGCAACGCGGGAAGGCGCTTGTGCCGCCTGGGGAGGAAGATGTACGGCTGTAGTGTTAAAGTTCCCCGGGGGCGGGCGGCTTCGCCTAGTGTTTTTTTTCACGCCTGGATGGTGGCCCGGAACGACCATGGTCGCGACACCTGTCAGGCCGGATCGGGATGCGAGAGGGGAAGGCGTGCGACCAGGAGATGTGCGTGTGCGGATGTCAGGCCGGATCGGGATGCGAGAGGGGAAGGCGTGCGACCAGGAGATGTGCGTGTGCGATGGCGCGCCATTTTCGACGGTGAAGGTGCTCGTGTAATCGGAGCTGCACAGCGCGCCGATGCCTTCCACGGCAGCCTGCGAGATCGCGGCGCCCTCAAAGTAGGCCGTTGTCTTTGGGCCGCCCGCGTCTCCCTCGAGCTGGAAGTCGCTGTTTTCGCACTGCATGACTGCAGAGCGGGACGGGAGAGGCTCTCAACAGTGCATACCTTCATAACCCACGTGCGCAAGTGTCGGTGTGACACCGATGCCCTCTCGCAGTTGTTCGAGGTTGGCGGTGGGCACAAAGTACCATAGTGGGCAGAGCCCGTTATCCTTGGTGGCAAACGAGGCGGTGGTGTCGCTCACGGGCGTTGTCTCGATGGTGTACTCGACGCCGCACTCGAGCTCCACCGCTTCGTGGTAAGTGTTCTGCAGGCCGCACTCGCAGTCCGGCTCGGGCAGCGGATAGTCCACCGCAAAAATGGAGGGTGCGCCGCAGGGGAAGTTCGACCCCGTTGCGACGGGGTGCTCAAACTCGTGCGCCACTCCCTCGGACGTCTTGAGGAGCCACTTCATTCCCGTCCAGGCTGTGCCGGCAAAGGTGCCGAGCTGAGAGGCGGCGGCCCAGTTGGCAGTGAAGTCGACAGTCACGAGGGTCATCGAGATGGGCTCGCAGGGCGGCGGCTGAGGCGTGCTCGAAAAGGCGTTGACGCGCGCGACGAGGAGGGCGAGGGCGAGAGACGCGAGGCGCATGGTGGCCCGCCGCGTGTGGCAGGTATTTGCTTGAGCCCGCCGAACGTCGCCTTAGTTTGTCATGCGACAGCACATGCACATGTGCATGCCGAGAGAGAGAGAGAGTGTGAGAGCCCGGACGAGCAAGTTGGCCGCCCCTCCCATTGTAGCCAAATTGGTGGCGCGCCCCTTGCTGCCCCGCGCGGGCACTTGAGCGGCAATGGAGCGGGTGGCACCCATGGAGGCGGCAAGAAGAAGCCGTCAAACGCAAAGAAGAATGCAAGACGCCAGGGCCGCTGCCGGGCCGAGAGGGGCAAGGCCCTCGACTTTGCTCAGGGCGCAGGGCAGGTTGATGGCGTCTGGTACCTTGTCCTTGACTCCAAGCACCAAGGAACTGCAGTTTGCACTCGACAGGTGGGAGCGGAGGAACGACTCCGACGCAAGCTCTCGCTCAACCCACAATTTCTCGCACAAATCTCTCGAACCCAGTGAGCGCGGCAGTGATGACTGCCCCATCCTCCGAAGATTCGTTCACCGCCGTACACACGACGCTGAAAGTCAAGTGGGCATCTCGGCTCGCTCGCGCCGCTTCGTGAGCGTCGTCAACTCCAGATACCAGAACTGTGCGTTGTGCACTTTCTCCCTTTTCACGCTTCAGTGTATGTGCTCATTAAAGGGGCACAAACAAATGCTAAAAATCTCTTAAAGGGGAAGGACCCTGAGTTGCACAGGGCGAGGGGTTGTGTGCCAAGCCCTCCTGCTCGGCTCCAGCGAGTAGACAAGTGTTACCATCAACAGAGGAGAAGGATCTGACCTCAGGGCTGATGTGACCAAGCGCTGGTAGCGTAGTTTTACCTCACACCCATGGTCTCACAGTGTGCCGGCAGTCGCCGAGCAGTGTCGCTCACACAAGCCGCAGCACAAGTGACTGAGGGCCAGTGAGAGCGAGCCCATCGCTGTGACAGCTGTGGTAGCCGCACAGTAGGCTGTGTCAACTGTGCAGAGCGTGTGAGCAGCCGAGGAGCTGCTCTCCAGGCTTCTGACGCAAAGAGCTGCATGCCACCGAAGGCGCTGTCGAGGTTCGCCGAGCGCGGCGCAGGTTGGAGGACACCGTCACCGACGAGCGCGTTGGACTTTTCACTCCGGACAAAGACGGGGACACAGCGGACGGTGCGGGGTGTGTCCCCGTCATAGCGGCGAGGCGCGGGACCGTCTGTGGCGAAGTGGGTCGCGTCCTCCGATTTCCGTCAACTCAGCACGAATTTGGGATGGGACACCTTCGGGACACGGCTGCGTGCTACTTGGATACGAGTAGCACGATTTCGGAGTACCGATGGCTAAGACCGAGACGGAAAAGGTTTCTGTTTTTAACCGCTTTTCTTCACAGGATTTTCCTGTGAAGAGAGACGTAGAGAAACAGACCTTTCAAACTCGGTGTCGAACCACCAGCTGCAGCTCGACGCTCACTACAAGTGATCAACGGTCCTTCCCCCGTGTATCGTGTATGTCTATGTGGTCTTGTTGACGAACAAAACGCCTCAACTCATGACCCGACTAGCGACGATTTTGGAGTCTCCTTTTTGTCAGCGCTGCAGTCCTTTTGTTTCTAGAGCACATGGGGGCGGGAACAAACATCAACAAACTCCAATGCGCCACAGGCGCCGAGGCCATGTGGCGGCTCCACCGAACGCTCACCCGCCGGCCTGCACGATCTCGAGGATCCTGGCGAGGGCCTGCTGCGCCTCGCTCACGCTCTGGAAGGCGGCGTCGAGGTTCGGCGTGTCTGTGCTCTCGCCTCTCCTGAATGTGGTTTGAGCAGAGTAGTCGTTGCCCGCCAGGTACGCGGCGCCGTCGGCCGCGGCAAGCGCCTGCAGCGGCAGGGCGCAGCGGCCAAAGAGGTGGCGGTGGGGGCGGCGGCGAGGGTGGCGGCGGCGGCGAGGCGGCGGCGGCGGCGGCACGGCTGTGCAGACGAGGGCTTTGCAGTGGAGGGCTGTGCTAGGGGGCCGCGGGCCTGCTGCATCTGCTCGCTCGCCGCCTGGTATCGTAATGAATGAATCAATGAATCAATGAATCAATGAATCAATGAATCAATGAATGGGAGCTGCTCGCCCGCCGCCTGGTACGCCTCGAGGCTGTCCTCAGGCACGCGCTGCAGCAACGCGGGCCTGCGTGGGGGAGGGCACCGCGTCTGCTCGAGTGGTAGCGCCGGCCATCGGGACGCGATCTCGGCCAGATCTCGGCCAGATCTCGGCCAGATCTCTGCTATATCTTACCTCTCGAGGAGCGCGCCCATCCTGCTGAGCGACGACTCTGCCGTCGTGCCGAGCACCTTGCGCACCTGCGGCGATGGACGGCGGGAATGAACGGCGGCGGGTGGCGGGACGGGCTTGCGGAGAGAGAGAGAGGGAAGAGAGAGAGAGAGAGAGAGAGAGAGAGAGAGAGAGAGAGAGAGAGAGAGAGAGAGAGAGAGAGAGAGAGAGAGAGAGAGAGAGAGAGAGAGAGAGAGAGAGATGGAGGGAAGGAGAGCAACCTGAACGCCCGAGCTTTTGCACACGGTGACGGTTGTGCCGCTCTTGGACGTGCTCGACGCCTCCGCCAGCAGCCGCTCTTTGTTCTCGGCCGAGAGGAGTTCGCGCCGCATCTCGCCGTAACGGCAGTCAATGGTCAGATCTGACCACTGCGACTTGAGCTCGCGGATGAGGCCGTCAGCGCTGCGAAGCCGCTCCACCTCTCCGGCGGCGGAGGCAGGCAGAAGGAGCGAAGCGGGCAGCAGCGCAGCCACCCTGAACGCTGCCCGGCGGCAAGTGGCGTGCGTCGCGAGGGCCGCGTGCAGCAGCAGCAGCAGCGGCATTTCTCGACACTAGTGGGGGACCTGCGGCGGACCTGGCAAGGTACTCCCACGCCTCTCGGGGTTTTTGTCTGGCCGAGTCAACCCGAGAGGCGTGTCTCGCCTCGTCAAGTCTGTGGGACGGCCGAGCCTCGTTTCAAGGGGCGCGTGCGTGCGTCCCCTCTCGACTACGTTTGTTCACAGCCGGCGCGCGCGCCGGCGACGAATATGCGCGACTCGCCGCCGCGGCTCCGGGCCTCCAACGGCACGACCTACGCCCAACCACCGAGAGGCGCGCCGTCACACCACTCGCACAGCCTGCAGCGCGGCGCTGCGCCAGAGCTCGAGAGGGCCCGAGAAGGGTCCCAGATCTCCAGTAGCACACAATAGCACACGTAGCCACGCATACCCAACCATCCCCTGTCACCCCAGAGCAGATCCCCCCAGGCGGTGAGGTCCTTTCTGGTGCTTGAAGCTCACCCTCGTCCCCTGCCGCAGGCCCTCGGCAGCCGTCCTGGCGCGCGCCAGGGCATGTACCGAGCGACCCCAGCCCGCTCTGGCGCGCGCGTTCGGCGCCGATTGGTGCCCTAGTCGGACCGTGCAACGGACGCGCGCTCTGCGCGCCTCACACGCACTTGCCCAGAGCTCTGCGCAGAGGCAGAGAGAGAGCGCGCCCTCCCCCCGGGCTGCTGCTGGCGCGCCACGCGCGTGCGATCCCTCTCTCGCAGTCGGTGTTCGCCGGGCGAGTTTTAGAGCTAAAATACATGTACATCACAAGACGCACACGCTGCTGTGGTCACCGACGGTCGTGTCCACATGCGCGCAATGGCGCAATGGTGGGCAGCGCCAACGCGCAGGACCATGTTTGCGCGCGACATGCACGCACGGGTGCGCAGGCAGGCGAGGCCATGCCAAAGACTGCCCTGGGAGTCGCGCGCGCGCGTCTCCAGCCGACCGGTACGGCGGCAAGAGCTTGACGGCTGTCGTGCCCGCAGCACGACAGCCGTCAAGCCGCGCAGTCGGGTGGACGCGTCGCGTCGGACTTTTTGCCACCACCTCCACGAGTCTGTCCAGTGCACCCACTGGCCAGATGCCGGGCCTCGGAGGCTGAATCGAGCGCCGAGTCAGGCCGACCTGGCACTGCTGAGGCAGGTCACGCCTGCTGGGGCGAGCCTCGGCGAGACTGCGTCAGCTGTTCCCACAGCAGGCTGGAAGTACCTCGCCAGCGGCGGACCCGCCTCTGTTGTTCGGGCAGTGAGAGACGCAGGATCTGCACGCCAAAGTGGGGCCACTCCGCATTTTCATTTTGGTTTTGGGTTGTCGGAGATCATCCATCAGCACTCATAAGTCAGTCAAAGCAGTCGTGGCACGTGAGCAGAGTCGCTGCATGCAACGGCGCCGCCACACGCTCCGGACGACCGACACACCGACACACCACGCACAATGGGAGGCTATCGCGCACGATCGGCCTTCGCACCCACCGCAAACACCTCGCCGCACAGATGGGGGGAGGCATAATCCCACACACACCGGAGCAGCGCAGACACCTTACACGTCAGCGCTCGCTCGATGTGGCCGGCGCTCTCCCCTCTCCTATCGCCTTTTCAACGGCGGCGTGCGGCCACGCGCCGCGCCGAGCCGGTCTTGGCGGGAGACCTCGGAGCCGCACGCGATGCGGGCATGCGCGATGGCTCCGTTGGCTCCGTGCCTAAGGCAGATAGATTAGGGTGTGAGCTGCGGCAGCCACCGTTTCTGTACCTCGATCACGTGCAGGCCGTCGGAGGCCGCGCTGGATGGCCCAGGGCCGGCGGCGGTGAAGGCGTCCGTCGATGAAGGGATGTCGTCGAGGGAGCCATCGTCCTCCGTGGCTGGTGCACCGGTCCAGTTGTCGGAGTTCGAGATCGCCGTCGACTTGGAGAGTTCGGCCCGTTGACGAACTCACGGAATGTGAGCGACTTGGTGCACGCTGATAGTCGAGCATCATGGCTCGCACCTCATCCTGGGCGAGGCTCGCCCAGGGACCAGCTGTTGGCGTCGCCGTTTTGATCGAGCTGCATCCACTGCATGGTTTCGCAATCAAGCAACCCTTTTTTTCTGTAGAAAGGTGAAGAACAGTCAGGCTCGGGGCGGGACACAAGGACGAACCACTCCTGCAACGACACGCTGAAGTCGACCTATGATCGTCCCGCAGCAGCCATCCTGGCAGCTCGCAGTCTCGCGCCGTCTCGGCCTCGTGTGCGCCAGCCTCGCGCTCATCGTGCTCGTCGCGCAGGCTTCGCCGCCTTCTGAGGTGTCTGACGCCTCTGAGCAGCTGGAGGAGCGGGTGCCATCGTGCTATCCGTTCTGCGGAATGGAAGTGGTCGTGCACAAGGGCTACGGGCTCGAGCGCCACTACGCGACCACGCCCGACGGGTACATACTCGGCCTCTTCCGCCTGCTTCCTCGTGGCGAGAAGTCCGCCGCTCGGCTCGCCCGGAGCCCGCCGCTGGTGCTGCAGCACGCCCTGCTCGATTCATCCTTTGCCTGGGTATCCAACTACCACAAGAACCAGTCGCTCGCCCTCCTCGCCAGCGATGCCGGCTACGACGTCTGGCTCGGCAACAATCGCGGTCCGCCGCGCCTCCCCTCGCTGCGCCTGCCCTCGCCTCCTCCTCGCTGCGCCTTCCCTCGCCTCCAGCCTCGCCGCACGTCCCACCGCCGTCCGTGTGCACCGCACTGTCCTGGAACTCACAGCTGCGCGCCCGCACGCAGGGAACGTCTACTCGCGCAACCACACCCGCCTCGACCCCGACGCCGACGCGGCGTTCTGGGACTTTACCTTTGAAGACATGGCGACGGCGGGCGGACCTGCCTGCGGCCGGCAGGGACGCGTCCACGACATGTCCACGCCATGTCCCATAGGCGACGGCAGACCTGCCCGCCACACTGCGCTACGTCCTCGAGCACCGCGCTGCGGAGGCAGCGGCCGCAGGCGGCGGAGGAGGAGGCGGCGGCGGTGGTGCTCGCGGCGGCGATGGTGGCAGCGGTGGTGGTGGCAGCGGCGGCGGCGGTGATGATGGCGGTGGCGGCGGCGGGGATGGTGGTGGCGGCGGCGGCAAGGGCAGCGTCTCTACAAGGCTTCGGCTGCCCGCGAGGTCGATTGGCTTCATCGGCCACTCGGAAGGGACGATGCAGGGCTTCGCGGGCTTCTCGCTCGCTGAGAACGCCGAGGCGTGGCTGCATCCGTTTTCTCTTCGGAACCTCCTCGGAACCTGGCCGGAAGCTCCTCGGAACCTTCCCGGTAGGTGGCGGAGGCAGTCGCTCTCTTCGGCGCCCTCGCGCCGGTCGCTTTCCTCTCCGGGATCGACTCGCCCGTGGTGAGACACTCCCGAGATCACCCGAGATCGCGTGAGAAACGCCCCGCGACACGTCCGCGACACGCCCGCGCCACGCCCACGCCACGTCCGCAGGTGAGCGGAATGGCGGCGAACCACGTGGACGGCCTCGCTTCGTGGCTCGGCCTGACCGAGCTGCTGCCCGGCTCGCGCCTCAACGGCACGCCTCGCCCCCTCTTGCAACCTGCCCTCGCCACCTCTAGCCACCTCCCCCCGCCTCTCATCACTTCTCCTTGCCACCTCCTCTCGCCTCCTCCTCTCGCCTCCTCCCACCACCTCTCGCCACCTCCCACCACCTCTCGCCTCCTCCTCTTCTCGCTCCTCTCGCCTCCTCTCGCCTCCTCCTCCTCCTCTCGCTCCTCCCGCCACCGCCTCGTCCGTCGTGGCGCAGGCTTCTCGTCGCCGCTGTGCAGCTGGGTGCGGCGGCGGTGCGACTGCTCCGCCACTCCGTGAACGGCGCCTCTCACGGCGGGGAGGTGTGAACAGGTGCCGCTGCTGTGCGACGGCGTGCTCGACTTGGTGACCGGGGCGAGTGACAACCTCAACCTGACCCACCTGCCCGTGCAGCTGGCGCACACGCCCGCCGGCACGTCGGCCAAGAACCTGGCCCACTTCATGCAGGGCATCCGCGACGGCCACTTTCGCCGGTTCGACTATGGCGACGAGGCGGAGATATAGCCGAGACGCAGCCGAGGGGCTGCAGAGATGTGACCGAGATGCAGAAAGATGGTGCTGAGGGTCGGAGAAGTGTCCAAGAAGGGTCCGAGAAGGGCCCGAGGCACAGTATCTGCACCTGGTCGGGGCTAGGCGGAGAACGCGCGGCGGTACAACGCGACGCGGCCGCCGGACTTCCCGCTTGCGGCGGGCTTCAAGGTGCCCGTCGCGATGTGGTCGGGCGCGCGCGACTCGCTCGCCACTCCGGCGGACGTGGCGCGGCTGCAAGAGGCGATCGCGCCGACGGCGGCACCCGCCCGCGGCACCTGACGCGTCCGTGACATGTCCATACGCCGTGTCCCGTAGGCGCTCGCGCCGACGGGGAGGGTGGTGCACCACGCGGAGGTGAACACACACGCTGCAGCCTCTCCCTCTCCCCACTGCTGCCTCTCTCTGCCTCCACCACCACCACCACCACCACCACCTCTCTCGCTCTCGCTCTCTCCCTCACACACACACACACACACACACACACACACACACACACACACACACACACACACACACACACACACACACACACACACACACACACACACACACACACACACACACACGCCAACGACCTCTCCTCTCTCCTCGCACAGGTCGATTTCGCGCATCTCGACTTTACTTGGTCGACACGCGCCGCGGAGGCGGTCTACCAGCCGCTCCTCTGCATGATGCGCGCACGGCTACCGCCCGAGAGAGGGCCGTGCGCCGCCGAGGCTGCAGCCGAGCCCACACCCGGCCTTGCAGCCGAGCCTGCGGCCGAAAGACGGCGCAGCGGCGTCTTGCAATGAGAAAGTGCGAAGGTCTCGCGCGGCAGCTCGCTCGCTCGAGGCCGGCTCCTTCCTCCCTTCCTAGCAGCCTAGGATTCGGTTCGCCTCTTCCCCATCCAAGTCCCCATCTCCCTCTCGCTCTCGCCCATCGCGAGAATGGGGTCCCCACAGTAGAGTAGTTCATGCGCATCTGGGTGTGTTACATGCACAGCATACAGTGTCCAGCCTGTCAGATTCGCGCGTCGTGTCGGTCGAGAGCCCCTATTCTTGCGCCCATTTATTTTCGCGAGCCTGTGGTATCTGTCTACTAACGGGCTGAGCGGTATGCGGTATGCCGCGCCCGCGGCAAATGCCGCGCCCGCGGCAAAGAGTGAGGGCTCGACGGAGTGCGAGTGGGCGGAGAGACAGAGAGCGTCCGAGACCGAGTCAGAGGTGACAGCACTGACAGGTAAGGTAAGGTAAGGTAAACGTCTCCACACACACAAAGTGGTGGGGCAAGGGGGGGCGACCCTTGCCCCACTGACACAAGTACTGACACGCGGGGAGGCGCCGTGTGCGCACGGGCGCCGTCCGCCAGTCACGTTACTCGTTTGACGGGTGCCCGGTGCACGACACTGCCTAGTAGTACGCAGCGCACACCGCCCGTACTAACATGAAGCTGGACGGCTTGAGGACATGCTGCTCTTATACTGCCTGACTGGTTTGGCGCCCCGCGAAGATTCGGCGCACGATCTTGTTGAATTCACGAACGTCCCCAAAGCCCGCTTCGATCACCGCCAGAAGCCGCTCGCGGTCCTTGGGTAAGAAGCACTCTGCCTTGGCCGCGTCGAAGTTCTCAAACGTTGCCGTGAGCTCCGCCTGCGCTTGGGCTGGATCCTTGAGCGGGTCGGCAATGAATAGGACCTCGATCCGCTCGACGGAGCCCCCCATGCGGAGGAACGTGAAGATCTCGAGCAAACACTTAAGGGTGGGGTGGTGGGGGAGGCCGCTCAGTCCTACATTATTAGAGATCAAGCAGCGGGCGTGCGCGGAAGATTGTGTGACGGCGGCGGCAGTGTTATAGCGGGCACTCTCACCCAGAGGCGGCGGCAGAAGGTCGGCCCCGCCACAACGAGCAGCCTCTGGCAGCCGGCGAGAAAGATTGGCAGGCACGTGAGCGCTTGGTCAATGTTGGTCTGGTCAATGCAGGCCTTGTCCTGTGAAGGGGGGGGGGGGGGGGGGGGCGGGTAGAGACCGGTGTTGGTGCGCCTCGTGTACCTTTGCCGGGCAAGCGCGCACCAGCCACAGCGTGGGTTCGTGCCCCGTTTTGCGCCGTTGGCAATGAGCCCATTGTGCTATCGCCGTGTACTTGGCGCCGGGGATCTCTTCCTCGTCCTTCCAGCTGTGGCTCAAGAACGCAGTGACCTCGCCCAGCCGCGCCGGAATCGATTTCGCTGCAAGGTCGAAGGCAGTCACCGCGGACATCGAAGCAGGCGAGGCTCGTCTCGAGCCAGTGGCCCCGGAATCAGCGAGATCATCGGCAGTGAGTTGGCTCGCAGGCAGGCAGCGGAAGAGCGCCTCTGCGGCAGCGAGCGCTCTTTCCGGATTGGCACGGCCGAGGAGCATCGCGATGGCTGCCGCCTCCTCCGCCTCACTACCGCGGCTACCGAGACGCCCAAGCCAGCGAGTCACCCGGCCGCGATTAGCAGGAGTTGCAAGGGCGGCGATAGCTATAGAGACGGCACCGAATATGATGTCACCAGCCCAAGCCGAACGTACGGATAGTAGCCCCGCACCAGACCAATCTGGGTGGTCGGCTAGCACAGCTGAAAAGAAGCCAACGTAAAGCATCCCATCACAGGCGGAGCTGAGGCGCAAGACCGCCCACATGCGTTGGAGTGCTTGGCGTGGCTGCATGACTGGTAGGCGTTTGCAGCCGCCACATGGCAGTGTGGCGACGAGCGCCGCGGCCGCACTGAGGTGCACCACGATCTTAGGCAGAAAGAACCTTTGGCACTGCGAACGGTGGGACACGGAGGGAACGGAGGGATTGGCAATCTCGATGCAGCCATGGGCATACAGGTAAGCGAGACCAAGGTAGAAGGCGAGGAAGACGGTGCATATAGTGCGAATCGCGCGCTCATCGGTGGGGAAGAGGGCGAGCAGGCCGAGGAAGAACCCCACCACCACCGGGATACGCCAGAAGTCCTTTTCTCCCACAACCTTGTCGATCGGGGTCCCCGCGATGCTCATAGCGACTGGCAAGATCCCGTACACGACGAGCGCCCACCCGATCTGCCCCATCGCGCCGCTCACCTGCAGCCGCCGCCGTACCGCCGAGCGACGCGCCTGGAGGAGCCATCGCGCCATCCATGCTGAGGCCTGCTGCTCGTGCGTGCTGGTCATCGCGACTCCAATACGTGTTCGCTGATTGATGGCCAGCTGGAGAAGGGTTAGTCCGACCACCAGCAGCGTAGGCAGCAGGGCGATCACGGTAGCGATGGCGTACAGCTTTGACACTGCGGCCCGGACTTCGTGCAACCTCGCCTCCAGGTCGGCCTCGAGCTTTACGAGGTCCTGTTCGAAGTTGTCCGAGACGTTCGACGGGCCAGCGCACAGGCAGGCGTAACTCCCCCCACTGCATGCCCTGTCTCCCCACTTGCTTTCTTTCCCTGGATGGGGCATGACAGCACAATCTTGAGGGGAATGAAGGGTGTGGTCGTCCGGCTCCCCAGCCGCCCAGTTCGTGAAGTTCGGCGCATCGCCGTCCACGCACCGACCCCACCCCTCTACAGGCTCTCGGCTCGTGTCATGCTGGTAGAGGCCGAGCCAGGCCGGCACGCCATCTCCGATGAGCGTGCTCGCAACATCGTTCTCCGCAGCCGACCGAATGCACGCTGGTGTTGACCCTCGAGCAGCGCACAGCTCCACACAGCCACTCAGGGAGGGCGAAAGCTCGGGAGGGATGCCGAAGCATCGAGTGGAGGGGCTGTCTGGGCTGGCAACCCAACCTTCAGGTAGTCCAAGCGCGGGGCTGCAAGCCCAAGATGGAAGTCCGTGCGAGAGGAGCGAAGCCGCCATTCGGTGTCGCAAGGCGCGAGACACACGGTGTTTGCGGCCATGCGGCCGGCCGGCCGACTAAGGATGATAACACGCTCTCCGTCGATGAGAATCGTGCACCTGACGGGCATTTTTTTAATTGCAAGAAAGATAAGATGGACGGAACGCTTTGCAGCCCGCCGGGGCGGTAATTCTTCTTGGGTGGGGTAGGGTGGTGGGCGCCGGAATGGGAGTGGTGTGACTGCTCCTGTGGTGGGGGCGACGGCTTCTGCAGAAGCCGTCGCCCGCGCCTTGCCTGTCGCATAATAACTAAATCAATAGAGCAGACATAAAAGAAAGAAAGAAAACGGACAACCCAAAGGAGGGATGGGAGAACGGCACGCCGCCACCACACAGGGATTTTAAGGAGAGGGGTCTAGCCATCGCCCACCCTTGTGCGTCCGCCTCTTCCTTTCTCTTCGCAATCTCTCTCCATAACATAAATTCTTCTTCGCCGGCATGTCGAACCGCTCGGCACTGCTCTCGGCACTGCTCGTGCTGCTCCTGGCCGCTAGTGCGAGCAGCCGTGCGGTTGGTGGAGGTGGTGGCCGCAGCACGGTCACGGACCGGCAAAAGGCTGTGCTTCGTCACCTCCAGGACGCTCGCGGCGGCGGCGGCGGCGGCGGCGGCGGCGGCGGAGCTGGCGTCGGCGATGCAGTGGGCGGCAGCGCCAGCGTCGCTCGTGAGGGCTCTGTGATCGGCCAGATTGTCGCGCTGAACCGCCAGCTGCGCGAGCGGCAGGCCGCCTACCTCGACCGACTCTGGCTCGCACAGCGGGCGCCGCGCGTCGTAGTCGTCGCGAACCGGCTGCCGGTGCGGGTGCAGCGCGGAGACAACGGCGAGCTGCTCTACTCCATCTCGCCGGGAGGGATGGTCTCCGCCCTCCTCGGCGTGCGCGGCATGCGCATGATCTGGGTCGGGTGGGCCGAGATCGACGACACGACCGCGGCCGAGAGGGAGCAGATACGGAGGACGCTCTGGAGGCGCGAGATTCGACCGAGATTCAGCCGAGAGATGCAGCCTCGGCGGCGGCTCTGCGAGGACTCCTCGGCTTGCGAGCCGGTCTCCCTCCCCAAGAGCGGCGTTGGCGCCGCCCCCTCACAGCGGCAGTAGCTCTGCACCTAGCTCTGCACCTGGCCCTGAGAGCAGATGACAGCTGCGCAGGCGCGGGTGCGTGCCTGTCTTCCTCACCAAGGAGGAGGCGCGGCTGCACTACGCGGGCTTCTGCAACGACGTGCTCTGGCCGCTCTTCCACTACGTCGTCTCGCGCATGCCCGCCACGCTCACACACCTCACCCCTCCGGACCGCCGGACCCTTCTCGGACCCTTCCCGGAACCTTCACCCGCAGGCCGGACATCAAGACCGACCTGCGCTCCGGCTTCCACGCGCAGTGGGAGGCGTACCAGGCCGTCAACGGCCACTTCGCCGCCGCCGTGGCGAGGGTGGCACGGCCCAACGACCTGGTCTGGGTGCACTGGCTGCACCGACGCTGCGGGCGTCTCTTCACAGCTGCGGCCGTGAACAGGTCTGGGTGCACGACTACCACCTGATGCTGCTGCCTGGGCTGCTGCGTGCGCGGCAGCCGCGGCTGCGGATCGGCTGGTTCCTGCACACGCCCTTCCCGTCGCTCGAGGTCTTCCGCACGCTGCCGATGCGCAAGGAGATCCTGAGCGGGCTCCTTGCCGCCGACCTGCTCGGCTTCCACATCTACGACTACTCGCGCCACTTCTTGCACGCGTGCACGCAGCTGATGGGGTCGGAGCTGTCCCTCGAGTCGCGAGGCATCGCGTGGGACATGCCTCTTCCCGCGGCCGGCGGCGGCGGCGGCGGCGGCGGCACGATGCGCCACTCGGTGCGGGTGGACGCTTTCCCGATCGGGATCGACCCGGACCGGTTCCGGCGCGCGCTCGACGCCGCCGAGGTCAAGGGCCGCGTGCTCGAGCTGCAGCGGCAGTACGCGGGCGTGTCGGTGCCGCGCAGCGTCGGCCGGCTCGACTGCGGCTAGTCGTAGTGGTACTGACTGGTTCGGCCGGGTGTGTGCGGCCTCAGGTCCTGCTCGGCGTGGACAGAGTCGACTACATCAAAGGCTTCGTCGCGCGAGGAGCGAGCGAGGGAGACGCGTCCCCGCTGGCCGAAGCGGGAGTGAGAAGCGAGTAGGCATCACAAGCTCCTCGCCATCGACTTGGGTGATTGGTGACATCAGTTAGTCGACACCGAATGGCCGAGCAGGCATCCCGCACAAGCTCCTCGCGATGGAGACGCTGCTCGAGACGCACCCGCAGTACGTCGGCCGCGTCGTGCTGCTGCAGATCGCCGTCCCCACGCGCACCGACGTGCGCCCGAGTGCCCCCGCCCGGAGTGCAGCTGCCGGAGTGCAGACCCGTGCATTCCGAGCGGCGCCTATGGTCGCCAGCCCGCGCACCCACGCGGCACTGCTTGAGTCCACCGAGTCGACGCCCTGCCGGCGGTGGGGCTGACCCTCCGGTGTGCCGATGGCGCAGGTGCCAGAGTACCAAAAGCTGCGCGCCGCGGCGCACGAGCTCGTCGGTCGCATCAACGGCCGCTTCGGCTCGCCCGGCTACGCGCCCGTCCAGTACCTCGACAAGTCTGTCGACTTTGCCGAGCTCGCCGCGCTCTACCACACCTCCGCCGCGTGCGTCGTCTCCTCGCTGCGCGACGGCTCGCGCCTCGCCCCCGCCGGGTACGCCTGCACCGGCTGCTTGGTTGACCCAGGCTGTCCATCAACCGGCTAGGCATGAACCTCGTGGCCTACGAGTACGTCGCTTGCCAGCAGGCCGCCAAGGGCGTGCTGGTGCTCTCCGAGTTTGCAGGCGCCGCGCAGGCGCTCGAGGGGCCGGCACACCGCCTGTCCGACTCTGGCACAGACACAGCCTGCGGCTTCCAGCCCCCCTCTGAGATCGCGCGTTGCCCTTCGTGTGTGTGTGTGTGCGTGTGCGTGAGGCCGGCTGACCGCGGGCACCGGCACCGGCGGTGGAGCGCCGCCAAGACAGCCTCTGAGATCGCCACTGATCGGCATGATGCCACTGATTAACTAGCTATTAATTGACCACGGGTGCATGAGCCACTGATCAGCATGTTGCCACTGCCGCGCAGGCGCTCGGCGCGGGCTGCGTGCGAGTCAACCCTTACGACACTCGCGAGCTCGCCCGCGGCTTCCACCTCGCCCTCTCGATGTCGGCCGAGCAGCGGGGGGTGCTGCACGCGCACGCCGAAGCACTCATTCCTTCATCGGGCTGAATGGTCCGTCCATGAGTCAGGTGCTGCACGCGCACGCGGACCAGTCCGTCTCCAAGTTATAAACTGAGTACAATGAACTGATTAACTCATTAGGTGCTGCACGCGTACGCGGACCAGTACGTCTCCAAGTTCACCTCGCAGGCGTGGGCGCAGGCGCTCGCCCCGCAGCCCGCAGACTCCTTCTCTACGAGCCTTCTCCGAAGCTTCTCCGAACTTCTCCGAACCTTCCTGCAGGCGTTTGTCTCGCAGCTCGCAGACTCGCAGCCCGCCAGCGCCCTCTCGGCGCCAGCGGTACCACTCCCGCTCTCGGCGCTGGTGGCTGCCCCTCGCTCCGAGCCGCCTCTTCACACCTCCAGCCGTGAACAGGTGCCGCTCCCGCTCGGCGAGGTTGCCTCCGCCTACCGCTCCGCCTCTCGCCGGCTTCTCGTGCTCGGTGTGGGCGGCATGCTGCTGCCGGCGGCCTCCGAGGCTGCTGGCGGGCGAGGCGCACTTGCCGCCATGTTCACTGACCCATTCATCAGCGGCCAATGAAGCAACTAGGCTGCCGAGGGCGAGGCGCACTTGCCGCCGCAGCAGGTGGCGGCGTTGCGCGCGCTGCTCCTCGATGAGACGACGACGGCGCTGACTAGCCGAGATGCGCCGAGAGGGGCTTGGTCGAGATTTGGCCGAGATTTGGCCGAGATTTGGCCGCGGTGCTGCTCGTCTCGCGCCACTCTCGGACACTCTCGACCGACCTCGGCCTCGGCCGACCTCGGAGCCAGGTGCTGCTAGTGTCCGGCCGCACGCGCGCCGACATGAACCGACTCATCTCCGACGTCACCGGGCCCTCGCCGCACGGCGCCGACGGCAGCAGCGGCGCCGCCGCCAAGCCACGGCCATCCGCCGCCGCCGCCGCGGGGGAGGGCTTGAGCGCCGCGCAGGCGGTGCGGCTGTGGGGTCTGGCCGAGAACGGCGTGTACGCGCGGCGGGGCGGCGGCAGCTGGGAGCTGACTTCGCAGGCGGCGCAGGAGGCGTCATGGCTGGAGCAGGCGGGGTGGTTTGGGGGGGGGAGATTGTCCGAGGTTGTCCGAGATCGCCCGAGGCTGCCCGAGGGTGTGCGAGACGGGACGCGGCTTGAAGCAGGTGGAGGAGATGATGTGCTACTTTGAGGAGCGGACGCCGGAGTCGCGGGTCGAGCGGCGCGACCGCACCATCCGCTGGAGCTACGAGAGCGCCGCCAACGGGCCGCTCGGTGCGCAGCACGCGTCGAACCTGGTCGAGTCGCTCGAGAAGACCCTCTCCAACGCGCCCGTCGAGGTTCTGTGGGACGCGGCGGCGGTGGAGGTGAGCCCGCTCGGCTCGGTGACATCTCCAGCGACACGTCCAGGACATGTCCGAGACCCGTCCCGTAGGTGAGGCCGCACGGCTCCTCCTCGGGCCTCGGGCTGATGCAACACGCCTCACGTCGGAGGCAGGACCTCGCCCGTGCAGTCTCTTCACAGGTCGTGCCGTGAACAGGCACCAGCTCACGTCCGAGGAGGCCCTCACCGGTGTGTCGCCAGAGGAGGCGGAGGGGGAGGGCGCCGCCGGCGCGGGCGGTGAGGAGGAGGAGACGCCGCTCTTCGACTTTGTGCTTTGCGTTGGCAACTTCAGCAGCCGCGACGAGGACATCTTCGCCAAGCTCCACCAGAGCGAAGGGTCGGAGGCGGAGGAGGTGGAGGAGGCGGGGGCCGTGGGGTCGGGCGAGGGCGGCGAGGCGGGGGGGGGGGAGGAGGAGGAGGAGGAGGGCGGCTTGCTCGCAGACGGCGCACTCCGAGGCCACCGCACGGCTCCACGGCGTCTCTTCACAGCGAGAGGCTGTGAACAGGCGACCCGCACGCCGAGGAGCTCGCAAAACACTTCATCGCCTCGAGCAGCGGCGCCGCGGCCGGGCGCGGCGGCGGCGGTGCCGGTGAGGCGCCGGTGTTGGGCGGTCTGGCGGGCGGAGACGAGGAGCGCCTTGGGACAGGGCGGAGGGCGTGTGGCTGTGAATAGCGTCTCTTCACACGTCTAGCCGCGAGCAGGAGGACGCGGGGAGCCAGCTGCTCGCCGTCGGGGCGGGAGGCTGCTTCACGGCGACGCTTGGCAACCGGTCGACGCAGGCCATGAGAATGATTGTTGCCATGCGGTCATTAGTGTGACGATCATTCTCTCGCGATTCTTATCACGCGTGGCGACCGGTCGGCGCAGGCGCGCTACTACACCTCGCAGGCCGACGTGACGGCCCTCCTCCCGCGGCTCGCCTCGGCCGCCAGCTGTGAACGGCGCCTCTTCACGCTCAGGCTGTGAGCAGGCCCTCCTCTCGCGGCTCGCCTCGGGCGGCGGCGGCGACGAGGTTGTGCTGGCGGCGGGCGGCGCGGCGGACGAGGCAGCTGAGCCGCGGCTGCCGAACGCGATGGAGCGCGCGCAGCTGCTGCGCATCCAGTCGCGCCTCAAGCGCTGCCTGACGCCCGCCTTCTGCCTCGACTACGACGGCACCCTCGCCCCGATCGTGACAAACCCCGCCGCCGCGCGCCTCCCCGACGGCGTTGCCGCGCTGCTGCAGCAGCTCTCGGACCGCCACCCGACCGCCATCGTCTCGGGCCGCGCCGTCGAGAAGCTGCAGGCGGGGCGGGGCGTACAGCGCCTGCTGCTCACGAGTGATCAGTGGTCACTAGTCCACAACTATGAGCAGGCGTGGGTGGACGTGCCCGGCGTCTACTACGCGGGGTCGCACGGCTTCGAGATCCGCGGCCCGAACGGCTCGCAGCTCAACTACACGGTGGCGGCGCAGCTCCTGCCCGAGGTCCGGCGCGCGCTCGAGGTGCTGCACGCCAAGCTCGCCCCCATCCCCGGGGTGCAGATCGAGGACAACAAGTTCGTGGCGAGCGTGCACACGCGCAACGTGTCCGCCGCCGACCTGCCCGCCGTCGACGCGGTGGTGAACGGGCTGCTCGAGGAGCAGCCGCTGCTGACGCGCACCGCGGGCATCCACGTCATCGAGGTGCGGCCGCAGATCCACTGGCACAAGGGCAAGGCGATGGGCTGGCTCATCAAGTGCATGTGCGAGATGCTCGGCCTACCGAGCGGCGCAGACTCGCGCAAGGCGACGGCGATGCCGATCTTCATCGGCGACGACGTCTCCGACGAGGACGCCTTCGCCGAACTGCGCGGCGGGCGCGGCATCCCGATCGTCGTGCGCGCCGAGGCGCCGCTCCGGCGGAGCACGGCGGCCGAGCTCTGGCTGCGCGACCCGCAGCAGGTGGCCGAGTTCCTCGCCATGTTCTTGAACAGCTGAGTGAACGTGTGTACTTGTACCCCCTCCGGAGCGCAAAATAAAACTTAAAAGAGGGGGGTTGTGCGCCGGGCCCTCCTGCTCGCGGCTCCAGCCAGTAGAGCCGTAGACAAGTCTTGTCATCACAACAGAGGAGAAGGATCTGACCTTGTGACGGCGGAGTTGACGTCTCCGACGGTCGTAGCGGCGTGGCTGAGGGCGGCGGTGGAGGCGCCCGAGGGCGCGGCGTGGCTGGTCTCATGGGTCTAGCAAACCATAAACCACACTGAGAGGATGCAACGAAAGCAGGCGGGCGATAGCAGGACGCACGAACTAGTTAGAGGTAATGACCTCGGTGGGTGTGAAAGGTCTACCCATTACCCAAGAAAGGGTAGGCGCGGTTAGATGGGAGGTAGAATGTCTACCTACCGCAGACCTCAGGGCCGATGTGACCAAGCGCTGGTAGCGTGGTTTAACCTCACACCCATGGTCTCACAGTGTGCCGGCAGTCGCCGAGCAGTGTCGCTCACACATCAAGCCGCAGCACAAGTGACTGGGGGCCCCAGTGAGGGCGAGCCCATCGCTGTCACAGCTGTGGCAGCCGCACGGTAGGCTGTGCCAACTGTGCAGAGCGTGTGAGCAGCAGAGGAGCTGCTCTCCAGGCTTCTGTCGCAAAGAGCCGCATGCCACCCAAGGCGCTGTCGAGGTTCGCCGAGCGCGGCGCAGGTTGGAGGAAGCCGCCACCGACGCGCGTTGGAGTATTCACTCCGGACAAAGACGGCCGCACACGCGGCACACGAGCTGCGGTCGCGGTGCGGCCGTTATAGCGGCGAGGCGCGGGACCGTCTGTGGCGAAGTGGGTCGCGTCCTCCGATTTCGGTCCACTCATCATCCACACCCTTTACAGAGCCTCCGACACCTCAAACTATCCCCGCAGCGCCCACACCTCGATCTTCTTGGGCAGCAGCTGGTTCGACATGTCCTCTCCGTGGCCCAGGCAGCCAAATTGGCCCTCGCCCCAGGCAAAGGCAGCGCCGTCGGCGGTGATGGAGCTGCACTCAAGCCAACCCCTGCCTAGACGAGTACAGCTAAAGAGTACCCGGGGCTCCGCACCTCCATCTGCATACATCGGCAAATCGAAAACAATATGTCACAGCCTGAGAGTACATCGCGAGAAAAAGAAAAATAGGACGCCTTCTTACTGCTGAGATCGCACACAACACAGACAAAAATGTCCGTCAGTGCTGAGATCGCACTTCCCCCAGCACGGCTCACACGCTCGCCTGCTGCATCTCCGCGCCTCGCTGCGTCGCCGGAGAGTCTTCCGTCGCCGCCGCCGGCGATTCGCCGTCGGCTGGTCCTGGCGCGCCGGCCTGCGCGGCAGCGGCGGCGGGCTGCTGGCGAGCCCCTTCCTCTAGCAGGGCCGCCTCATCGGCCGGCTTGATATGCCCGTGGACCTTGGCCGCGAGGCGGGGCAGGGAGAGGGAGAGCGAGGCATTGATCGAGTAGCCAGCGGCCAGCAGGCAGAGAGCGCCCGCGATGAGGAAGCTGTACTGCATCGAGACGACGAAGGCGCCCTCGGTGTACGCGTAGCCTGTTGCCGCCATCGGCAGCTCGACCGGCGCGGCCGCCATTCCGATGGTGCCGCACATGAGGAGGAGAAAGGCGCGGCCGGATCGGTGCTGCAGCACCTGGATGTTCCTCAAGACGGCGGAGAGACCGAGCTCGGCACCCAGAACGAGAGTGCCAAGCACGCCGAGCCAGCCCATCACCGTCCGCAGCAGCAGCGGGTTGCAGTGGTCGGCGCCTTGCCCTTGGCCGGTGAAGAGGTGCTCAAAGGCGACACACGCCATCGTCAGCGCCGCAACGATGTTGGCCCACTTCGCCTTGGTTCTGAGCCTCGCGTCGGCAGCGCTCGGTGCCGCGCCGCCCGTGAAGCCCGCCTGGTCTGCAACGAGGCCCTTGCCGACGTCAGACTTGACGCCCGTGCCAATCCTCACAGCTCGTCGAATGGACTGCATCGAAGGGTCGAGCGTGTCACAGCGGGCACATGCAGAAGCGCTTTAGAAAAAGAATTCGCGCCTCAGTTTTTTCGAAAGCTCGCACGGCACTCTCCCTTGGGTTGTGTGTTTTCTTTCTTTCTTTTTCGCACGGCACTGGGCACGGGATTCTCTAGCTTTTCTGGTAAGAGATAACAGATCGGTCTGGATCAAAGCAGAAAAAATAGGACCCCAGGAATTGCGACTCGCCGCTTTCCTCCCGCTGTGATTCTGTGTGAGCTGTGTCTTGATTTGCCAACAATACACACACCTAAAACAAATAAACCAGAAAAAATACTTTGGACTCTGACCGGGCACGGACGCGGGCAGGACGTGTCCACATTCATGCACCCAACCCGGCTTCTTCCCGACGTCGGGCTTCGGGTCGTTCGGCGGGACCTCGGCCGTCGGCGGTGCCTTTGGCCGACCCTCAGCCTTCGGCGGGGATTCAGCCTTCCCCACTTCCTTTGGAGCCAAGCCCGCGCCGCAGGCAGCAAAGCTCGGCGCGTTTGGAGCCGGTGTCACAGGCGCGGCCGCGGCGAGTAGCGCGGCGCAAACAGCCTTTGTGCGCGGCGCACACGCGCCCTCAAGCATCTCGACGCCCGTAGCCTTTAACACCTCAAAGCAGCAGCCCGCATTCGGGGCCTTCTCCTCCCCTGTTGCCTCGCAGTCTCCCTTTGGTCTCGCGCCCAATAAGCTGGCGGCCATCGGGGCTGTCGATGCCGTCAGCCAGCAGACCAACGTCTTTGGCACGAAGACGTCGGCCTTCGGCTCCGCCCCGAGCGCACTAGCGCCAGCAAGCCCGTCGTCACTGGCGCCAGCCGGCCCGTCGCCAAACGCCTTTGGCTTCGGCCCCGCCCCGAGCGCGTTCGGCCCCGCCCCGAGCGCACTGGCGCCAGGAAGACCGGCGCCAAACGCCTTTGCGGCGGCTCCGCCGACGCCGCCCGCGCCTCTCTCCATCTCGGGCGTCGCCGTGGCCACCGCCCCAGAGCCGAGCGAGCTCGCCGCGCGGCGGCAGCAGGAGGTTCTCTTCACGCCCGCGGTGCGCCGCGACATCTACTCCATCCTGCTCAATCCGGCCGACCCCGGCGCCGAGCACGCAGCGCCGCCGCCGCAGCCCTCGGTGGCGGGCCGTATCCCGTTCAGGGCCGCTCTCGCCGCAAAGTCCTCCAAGGACCTGTCCGAGACCAAGGGCGCGCTCACGGCCGTCGGCCCTCCACCGCCAAAGCCAGACCTGCGCTCTCTCGACACCTTTGCCTTCATCGACCGCCCGGCCGGCGAGGAGCCGCCGCTCCCCTCTGGCTGGACGGTCCTCTCCGACGACGCCCTCCTCTCAGCCCTCGACCACCTCGGCGAGGCGGCGCCCCTGCCGCTGGCGGCGCTCAAGGCCTTCGAGCAGTACCTCGCGCACAAGGCGGCCACCTGCTGGGGCGAGGCGCAGGCCGCGCGCCTCTCCGTCGACTTCCTCATTGCCTTTGGGTGCGAGCTCACCCCGCGGCTCGACGTGCACCACCGCATCCGCTCGGGCCCGCTGCGCGACGAGGAGCTCGCAGCGCTGACGTCGCCGCCGCTCTGCCGCTTCGTCGACCAGGCTATGCTCGCGCGCTTTCAGGCGGCACCGCGGACAGGCGCAGCACAAATGCTGCAGATCACCGCCCCATCTGCTTCGTGAGGGGGGGCGTGAAGAGATGGGAGGCGCGAGCATAGAAACACGAACATTGACCTCATAGAGTGTGCGCATTTTGTGCGCGTGGAGCTGCAGCGCTGGTCCTCCTGGAGCGCGCGCCTGCGACTCGCTGTAAGACTCTCTCTGCAGCCGGGCGGGGGACGGGGCGGTGAGTTGTTGCTTTTTTGCGTGCGTATTTCTTTTTGCATTTTGGTATTGTATATGAGCCTGAGTTTCTCTCAGTGACAGACCATGAGACACGGGGCTGACGCTTGCTCCATGCTCGGCGCGCGCGTGCTCGTGCTCTTGCTCCTAGATCGGCATCGGAGGAACCTCGTCTGACAGAATCGGAGATACGTGAGACACTGGCGGTTGTGGCTCCCTAGCGCCTAGGAGAGTGCCATCTCCTCCTCGAGCGCTTTCGCCATCTCTTCCACACTGCTGCGCTTGCTCAACGCCACCCGCGTTGGGCGCGACGCCGCGGGCGCGGTGGATATGGGTGGCACTATGATGGCGCTCTCGCCGTGCGCGAGCGACTCCTGAAAAACGAAGCGCGGGCCGGGGTGGTGACGGCGAGCGGCGTGAGCTGTACTAGGAGGGAAGAAAGAGAAGAGGCTAGCTCGCTCGCCTGCTCGGCGGTACTCGGCGAGAGGGCGCTCCACATGACGAGGGTGGCGCCGAGAGAGAGCGCAAAAAGGAGAGCGGTGAGCCCAAACACGATCGGCGGTCCCATCTCATAGCCGTGCACCGCCCAGAACGGGCCGACGATCCGCGCGACGGAGCCGAGCGCGAACATGAGGCCCATCCAGCCGCCCTGGGGGCCATCCCCGAGAAGCTTACCTACGGTGACCTTGCGTGTCAGACGGACGGGCCCTTGAAGCAGCTGGGCGCGGCGGGAGTCTCGGCGCGCCGGCCATTGCGAGGCAGACGCCACGGCCAAACGGGAAGGCGATGGTGACGAGGGTGAAGGCGACCAAGAACTGGGGTATGTCCATGACGGGAGCGCCGGCCACGATGTCGGACAGGGGCACCATGAGCATCCACCCAGCAGCGGCGATGACCAGCGAACCGAAGAGCATCGCCTTGCGGGGCGACGGCGAGGCGTCAGCCCGGCTTCGCCTCCCGCGGGTGCGCAAGGAGTGAGTCCGCTGCCTGGTCCGAGACGCGCTGGCGCATGGTCCCGTCGGGCTGCTCGCGCGGCGTCGACAGTGCCGTCATGACGGCGGCGCAGAGGAGGTTTGCGACGCCCGACGCGATGAACAGCTCGTTTGCCGCCGTCTGTGGCGATGCAAGGCGGGTAGTGGACGTCTCCTACGCGATAGCGTCGGGCTAGCCCTGGGCGAACCTTGTCCCAGCCAAACCAGTCCGCCACGAGCGGCGTCGTGATAGTCTCCTGGACGGCAAAGCCGTTGAAGTGGATAAAGAAGAAGATGATGCACGCCTACAGCTCACACCAAGCGACGTGAGAGGCGACCTGCTAAAGCGGGTGGTGATGAGGGCGGTGCACCCACACGCCAGTCGTCTGCGCCTGAGAGCCACCGCCTTTTGCGCCACTCTCCGCAGCGGCGCTGGGTGTAGCGCCGTGCTGGCCCCACGGCCCGATCTCGCGGAAGCAGCAGGCGAGTAGGCTCAGGCTGAAGAGGTCCGCCAGCGAGTTGAACCAGCCGGAAAGCGTGAGCGAGTCGAATGTGAGCACGCCGATCGCGAACCTGCAACGTGACGATTTTGGGGTTGGTGGTTGCCATGCGTACGCCAATGTCATGTGGGGGGCAAGGCAGCAGAATACAACGCATCAGCTGCACCGCGCGCGCGTGAATTTAGCATCTGTGCCGGCGAGCGGTTGGATGACGCCAACAGCGGCGCCAAAGGCCGGACCAAAGATGAAGCCGAGGCAGGCGAATGTCGTCATCATCGCCGTCAGCCCCGTCTGCTGTTCTGGTGGCGCCGCCCGCGCGAGGTAGGCCTGCTGAACGGCCTGTCGCCCGCCTGCTGCGATGCCCTGAGCGAGGCGGCCGAACAGCGCGACCCAAGGACCAGCCCCCGGGGATACATTTGAGGCAGCCTCCGCAAGGGCATAAGCGGCGGCGCCGGCAGCGCCGAGCGAGCAGCAGAAGAGGAGGGTAGGTTTGACGCCCGCGAAGCTCGACACGGCACCCAGCAATATTGCACCAACTGCCTCTCCGACAGAGAAGGCCGAGACGACAGCGGCGTAGAATGCCTTTGTACTCCCCATCCCCTCAAGGTAGATCCACAGTGAGGGCAGCACGATCGAAAATTGCACGCAGCCGATGAAGACGTTGGCGTAGAAGATGTACCTGTGATGTTCCGCCACGGGTTGGGGGCAAGGCGCACGGTATTACGGCTTTGGAGCAGAGGCGCACGTCCAACAGAGATCGCCTTTGACCGGCTTCGCAAGCAGGCTCTCGCGAAGACTCATCGGTCAGCGGCGCGAGCGGAGCTGACGGCGGTAGTTACTGACTTTCGACGCCCTGCAGCACCTATTTGCCGGCCGCGCGGGTCGACACGATGGAGGGACTGCCGTAGAAGTTCACAGTTGTTATGCGGGTTGTCAAACGAGTGACTTTGGGGGGTCAGTGGACCCCGTTGGGTTCAAACTCGGGCATTGTGGGCCCTGGCCCCTCTAAAGGGATGTATCAGCTACAATTGGAGCTAACGGGAAGGCCGGGACGGATGGATTGGCAGTCTTTGTTTGCTCCCGTTCTCGCCCTGCCTGGGTGGGTGGGTGGGTGGGGGGGGGGGGGGGGGGCTCCGTGCCGTCCCGGGTGGCTCCGTGGGCGCAGGAGGTGTCTAGGACAGCAGGACCATCCCTGGCACGCTTCGCTGCTTCTAAAAAATGGAAAATGGCTTTCTGCGCACGTGTATTCTTTTTTTGCTTGGCCGGCCCTGATGATGAAATTCTGCAAAAACCTGGCCGGCCCCTGCCCTGCCCTCCCCCTACCTACCTACCTACCTACCCTACTTATGAGAGAGAGAGATTTTTAGCAATACCAAACAACTCTAACACTCACACGTAATTTGGGGCCTGGAGCCCTGTTCACGCGCGCGCGAGACGTGCAGACAGGGTTGCCAGGTGAGAGCGAATGGCGCGGATCACGCCTCGCACAACAGAGAGAGAGATGCGCTCTGCATGGTGGGACATAAAAGAGAGCGAGTACTTGGGCGAGTAGGCCGTGCGGTCAACGCTGCCGCGCGCGACTTTGCGCGCGAGGCGGCGCAGCTTGAGAACGGCGGTGGGCGAGAAGCCGCCGCCGAACGTCTCGTGGAGCAGCAGGTTGAAGTTGTTGCACTTGACAAAGATCGCGTCGTGGTTGTTTTTTGTTGTACTTATGGGAACTAAAAAAGAAATCATTTGCGGGGTGAAGGTGGGGTACTATACCAACTAGAGTGATGGCTGGTGGTACTCTCCTGCAACCATAGTCCTTCCTGTGACATGGCAGGCCACTCTCAGGCCCTACAAGCATCAGATCACCCACTTGGGGAGGGTTGACTTGGAGCACTTGGAGTGGTTGACATCGTGATTTCCGCGGAAAATTTCTTTTTCTGCTGTGAAAATTCCGGCGTGGAGAGAGGGAAAACCCCGACGAGAGGTCCCAGACCTACCCTACCTACCCCGGGATGAGCCGGCCAAGCAAAAAAAGAATACACATACGCAGGCAGAATCCCGCTCGGCGGCGCCTCTTCGGATTCCCACCAAGTCAGATCGGCGTTCCCACCAAAGTCCAAGAACGCACTCCATGCTTCCAGCTTGTTGAGCTCTATGTGGCGCTTCCGCGAGGACCCGCCCGCACCTCCCGCACCCGCCGCACCTGCGCCAGATCCGCCCTCGATCGGCAAAACGCCCACGGCGACGCGAGCAGACGCCTTTGCCGCGTTCCGCGGCGATGCCACGCTTCCAGCATCGCTCTGGCCGCGAGCCTCGAGCCTCGACGCGTCGACTGCTCGCGTCATCTGGGTGCTGGCCGGCAGTCGGACGGGCGCCTGCCGCACCTCGCAGCCGAGGCTCAGGGAGGTATGGCAGGAGTCGGCTGAGACGTGTCGGTTCATGTGCGAGGAGGCGGCAGAGTGCCGCAGCTATGAGTTCGGCGAGCTGAGGCGAGGCGGAGGGATCGTCAGCAGGCGCGCGCTCATCTAGTCCGCTGCCCAGTCCACGAGCAGGGGGTCTGACACTGGCGCCTCAGACCCTTCCATCTCTTTCCCCGCGCAGGTGTCGGCTCTTCTCTGTTCGGGTGCTGCAAACCTCTCCCATCGGCGGCCACATCTGCTACGTCAAGCGGAGACTGATGCCAGCGCCGCCGCCGCCGCTACTGCCGCCAACCCCACCACCGCCAGCGCCGCCGCCGCCGCCGCCACCGCCACCGCCGCCCACGCCGCCGCCGCCGCCATCGCCGCTGCCGCCGCCGCCGCCACCACAACCTGAGTGGCTGCGATGTGGTCAGGCGAGCTGCACCCGGCTCGCTTGGGACACGGTCCCTTCCAACGGCGTGGCTACCTGCGGCGCTCAGATTGCGTGGGTGCAAGCCGGCGGTGTCCCCGGCCATCAGCTGTGGCCGGATGCTTGCCGATTCGTTGCGCACCAGGCAACAACGCCAGAGTGCGCGCCGTGCGGGCCGCTGCTGACGCCACCGCCCACGCAGCCTTCGCCCACACCGCTCCCACCACCGTCACCTCGACCCCCGCCGCCAACGCCACCGCCACCCCCGCCATCGCCGACGCCGCCCCCGCCGCGTCGCTTCTCCCAAGCCTCATGGCGCAACGAGCCCTCCCCTCCCCCGCCGCCACTTCCGCCTCCTCCACAGCCGCCGCCGCCGCCGCCACCGCCGCTGCCGCCGCCGCCGCCACCACAACCTGAGTGGCTGCGATGTGGTCAGGCGAGCTGCACCCGGCTCGCTTGGGACACGGTCCCTTCCAACGGCGTGGCTACCTGCGGCGCTCAGATTGCGTGGGTGCAAGCCGGCGGTGTCCCCGGCCATCAGCTGTGGCCGGATGCTTGCCGATTCGTTGCGCACCAGGCAACAACGCCAGAGTGCGCGCCGTGCGGGCCGCTGCTGACGCCACCGCCCACGCAGCCTTCGCCCACACCGCTCCCACCACCGTCACCTCGACCCCCGCCGCCAACGCCACCGCCACCGCTTCCATGGTCGACGACTCCCTACCCTCGGCCGTTCTCCTGAGCCTCAGTGGATAACGATGACTAACCTCCCCTACATTTCCTAGAAGATGCCCAGAAGACGCCTGTTCAGGGGAATGTCGAGGACTGCGGCAGAGGCGTCTTTCCATAACCCCCGCCCCCCTTGACAAGCATGACCGGGATCTCACCTCTTAAATCAGGGGGT